TTTTGCATATATATAATAAAAGTTAAAGAAAATCTGAATAAATAATATACATTTTATAAATACTGAAAAATGTGGCCTAAATTTTAATGCAAAAATATGTTTGATCAGTTAGGTGTCATATCAGTTTTGATGGCTAACAACAACCTCTAGCTTAGCTAGCTCTTGTGTTTGAGGGAAACCGACTATAGACTATTATTCATATTTTGTTTTTTGAGGTTCAATTTTCCAAGTTGCATACAGCCCCAATTATTTCCAAACATGTGAATTTAAATTTCTTAGATGTTCATAATCCTGCTTTTTTTAATGCCTTTGCATAACAACTATAGGCGCATATATTCAGTTTGTTTATATAGCGGCAATTGACAACACTCAATCTGACAAAGTCAGATTGGTTAGAAGTTTCTATCGAGGAAAAACAGTTAATTTCATCACATCATTGACTTGGCAGATATGCTCGTCCTGGATGAGCTTGCATTTTGTCGAAGACTCGCCAGAAGCCCCTCACACTGAACAAGCATGTAGTGACAGTGGAGAAGAAAAACTCCCTTTCAACAGGAAGTGGGACTAAACTAGTTCCACAGGTTGCCCTGTCCAGGAAAAACAAAGTGAGGCAGACAAGCTCCAAGTCAAGAGTTAAAATGATGAAAAGTGGTCCCCATGTCCTCCAGCGGCCTAAGCATATACTAGCATAAATATAGAAAATAGCATATGTATGACAAAGGTACAGCCATATATATATATATATATACAGTACACACCTCATTCAAAGAGTCTTGAAGCTCATCAAGAGAATGCTAAGAGTGTGTGAAGCAGTAATCAAAGCAAAAGGTGGCTACTTTAAAGAACATAGAATATAAGACATATATTCAGTTGTTTTACACTTTTTTTTTTGTTAAGTATATAATTCCACATGTGTTAAATCATAGTTTTGATGCTTTCAGTGTGAATCTACAATATTTTTTTTGAGTCAAGTGTGTCCAAACTTTTGGTCTGTACTGTACCTTTGGCACTACAGAGTATTTATGACATATTACATGTCTTCCACCTGTTTGCCACCGATTTCATGACATCACACCAGAACACACTGTAAAAAACACATTTTGAATACCATAATTCACACACTGCATCCGTTGGGTTTTACTGAAAGAATCGCAGCGGTTTTAAAAATGAACCTCCAGGACAATTCACTTTGGTAAAGGCAGAGCTCAGCGGAGACGTTTTTGTTAAAGCTTGTGCATTTGTAGCATTGAATAAAATCCAAATACTTCTGGCAATCAGGCTTAACAAAGTCAGAGGCCTCTAATAGTCTATAACACATTTTCACAACTTAAACTCTAGCTTTAGCTAAAATAAATAATTGCTAAAGGTTCCACTTTGCTGCAGCTGTTTCCTGGGCATAAATCACAGGATACTTCCTTGTGCCAATTCACTTAGCATGAGGTTCCTACAATGCAATTGGTTGCTGACAATCATTTGTTTGACAGGCTATATAGGCACAACTCATCAGATAAAGTTTAACAAAATACATTATTCCTTTACACGTACAGTGCGACACATGATAATGATCATAGCTTCATATTTTTGGGGGTTTATAGTATGGAGGTCTGACCAATAACTACATTAGTGGATTTTTTTGTATTTTTAGTTCTTTTCCAAAATGCCGTAGTTCCAAGTGGACTAGCATCATTCAAATACGTGTCAGTACTTTTCCTACCCTGGACAGAGCTATTCCTGTTGACCTTGAAAAAGGTAAAGAGCTACAATTTGAGGTATTCAAATCAATCCTTTGTTCATTACGCAGTGAGGTAGGTATTCAATGGGAAATATACTAATGCTAAAAACAACAATTAGAGATTTCTGTAAACTGGAATGATAAAAAACGCATTCTGATTATCCACATTTGATCTCCCTGAGACATGTAAGTGCATTGACAAAGCAAAAACAGCTGCAAGGGGACAGCAGTGTACTAATATAAGTAATGCCACATAGTTTGTGTGAGTGCCAAAGCATTTGGGCACAGCTGTACTTTTCCACCGGGGGGATTTTCTCTGTTCTCCATCAGAAACTTTGTAGCATAAACATCATCTGAGGGAAACATTTCGAGTCCGCACTGATAAAAATTAAGGCAACTATCTAATAAAGAAATGCCAAGGACTGGGTGAGATATGTCAGTAAAGGATGGGGAGAAAAAAAAAAAGAAAAGTGAAGGACATAACTCCGGTTTGAGTCTTTACATTTGCTCAGAAATAAAAGTAAAAGGTTATTTATCGGATAGGTGGAGGTTTTGCTTTCTTTCCAAAAAAAAAAACAAAAAAAACAAGGGAATCAGAAAGAAGGGAATATATTTGCAAAAGCTCCTCTGAGGTGCTCCCAGCGGAGACGCTTTCATGGTCTCCTCTCTTTTTGTAATTTTCCACTCCGGTTTAATCTGAGCTCATACAGGAAGAGAGAGAGAAAGAGAGGGAGAGGAAAGGCTGCATGATCTCCACTGTGGTGTTAAACTCCCCCTCAGAACCTCCCTCCTCTCAGCCAGAAGTCATCCAGCCGATCTTTGACCGTTTTTCCTCCAGCATGGCTTTGCACACCTCAGGTCTGATAGTAATGGTCGCCTTCTATCTGCTGGTGATGGCCATCGGCATCTGGGCATCTTTCAAGTCAAAGAGGATGGAGAAGAACTCCCTGAGTGGGCAGATGGAGGTGTCTTTTCTGGCCAACCGGAGGGTAACTCTCGCTGTGGGGGTCTTCACAATGACAGGTAATAAGAAATCCCTTAAGAACACTTAAGATCCTCTTAATTCTGAGGACTAATGAGGGGAGGTCTTGGTTTTCCTGCAGCCACATGGGTCGGAGGTGCTTTCATTATTGGGGTTGCAGAGACAGTTTACGACCCTACAAAAGGACTCGTCTGGGCTCTCATACCTCTACAAATGTCTCTTTCATTCATCATCGGTAAGTTACAACAGCCATAAATAAACATATCTGACAATTTTCCACTCAAATAAACAAATAAATTGTCTTGCTTTCTTCGTATTTGTCCACGTAACTTTCCAGAGGTAGGAAACCCGTGAGAGAGTTGTTACAGGAAGATAAGAGTCAGAGATGAGGACCTCGGTAACCTTGGATACAGCAGTTAGCCAATGTTTATACTTGATGTATTTATTTATTTTTTCTAAAGGTGGTCTGTTCTTTGCAAAGCCGATGCGCGACAAAAAATACATCACCATGATGGATCCGTTCCAGAAGAAATACGGGAAAACCCTGACGGGGCTTCTTGCTGTCGTTCCCTTCGTCAGCGAAGTGATGTGGGTTCCCGTCACGCTGATTTCTTTGGGTAATGTAGATTTGTGACAATAAAAAAAATACGGCTGATGGGTTTTCGTTTGGCCTGAGCTATTTCTTTTTCCAGAGTCGAAACACCGAACTATTTTAATGACTGAGTGCAAAAGTTTGAGAACATTTTATATGTGTTCAATCTCTAGTGGGTCAAGTTTAACAATGTCCAACAATAGTTGACTTATCAACAGTGGCACTTAATCCTTTCAAAGCCATTACTAGGGTTCTCTCGACACTGTTTGCAAATTCTACAAATCCTAGGGCTTGGTTGGGGTTCTGGCACAGACCCAATGCCCAATTTGAGGCAATCATGAGGTAAGTGCTTACCCCACCTCTGTATCAATCTGCGCGTCCTTGGGCAAGACACTTTCCCCACCTCGCTATTTGTGAGTGGCCCAGAAGACCAGAAATTATTGTCTAAAATACTATTAAGCACTTTAGGGTTCTGAGACGGGTTTGCGATATTGTCCTTAAATGTTCTTTTGGTCAGAGCCCATTGTAAGGGATCTTTACTTTTGCATTAAAAATCTCTTATTATTACTTCACAGCTATTACTGTTGCTTTCCCTGTTTGGCGGCAGACTGAATTTAAGCACTTATCGTCACCTAAAGGGCTCAAATTTTGAAGTGTTTTATTTTCATATAATGAAACTAAAGCAAAAATTGACATGCCTCATTTGTTAAGAATGTCATTTTTCAATACATTTTTTTTTTTTTTAAAGTAAAGGCCATCAACCATTTACAATCTGGGATTATTGACCTGTTGGAACACTTCTGTATCTAGTATGGTTGGGTTATCGATTTCTTAAAGGGTAGCAGCAAAACAGACCCAAGGCAGAATTCTGCCTCGTAATCTCAAAGTAGGCTTACAACCCTGTTTTGTAAGATTTCGGTTTTAGGGCCTTAAAATGATCTTTTACTGTTGGCTTTCAGTTTAACATACTCTTGTTTTTCTAAGAGATCCCAAAGATTTGAGTCTTTGCCATGGATCTCAGTGAGCTCCGACCATTGACCTCCCATATCTTCCGCCTTGTCTTATACCAGACCTAAAATCCTGAGGGTTTAATGTGAAAAACCTGTGAAAAGTGTATATAACCACAATTTAAGGTTCTAATTAAGGTGCTTAAACTTTACTATTATAATTAGCTTTTTGTTTGCATCTTTGCTTTATTTTTTTGACTCCACAAAAATTTCATGGAAGATACAGAGTTCTAGAATCTGAAAGCTTTAGCATGACTCCCAAACAAACTTAAAGGTTTTGGTTTGTTCAAATAGGAAACTGGCAACTTCAGTCAATCTTAATGCTAATTTGGAGCAAAAATGGCTTAAAAAATGTGTCAATATAAAACTAGTTCAGTGTGGATGGTGATGCTGGCTGAAGACCTGGGTTCTTCTTGAACATCTTGCCCAATTTTCCTCAACCTGACAGTTTAAGTGAAGTTATTCAAACTTCCAGATATTGGGCCGATGGTAAGGTTCTACACGGCATTTGTGGTTGTGAAATCCTTGAGATAAATCTTCCATATGGACGATGATCCTTGGTCTGCTGACAGATTACAAAATGGCAGAGGAGAGAGATTTGGAGCCGTTAATTCATCTCTATATCATGTATTTGTTCTGCCCAGCCACTGAACCAGGTGAGTCCAATCTTTGGGCTGAACAAATACATGACATAGAGATGACTTGTTGACTCTAGATCTCCCACCTCACAATGGACACCTGATCTTAATCCAAAAGTTTGTGGCCAGAGCTAAAAAAAAGTGAATCTATCCCAGTCAAACCTATTCTGTCAGAATGAATGGGACAAAATTTAACCCTTTAATGTAATTATATACATCATAGACACCACCACCGTCAAAGGAATGAAATGTAAACCTCTTTCCAAATGGAAAAAAGAATGGTTGAAATACCTGATTAAAGGACAAAACAAAACTGTATGTCATCGATGTGTTTTTGCTCTTCTCCACCAGGAGTTACTGTTTCAGTATTTTCCGATCTGCCATTGAGCCTTTGCATTTGGATCTCTGCGGCGGTGGCTATCCTCTACACAGTACTCGGAGGTCTTTATTCAGTTGCTTTTACTGATGTCATCCAGTTATCACTGGTCTTTTGTAGCTTGGTGAGTTCAGCACATTAACAAGACAGCAGAGGTAAACAAATTAGCATGCATCAGTATTGCCCTGATGGGTGTAAGCTTACATTTGTCTGACTTTGGCTTTTGCTACTTATTTTAGTGGCTTTGCACTCCCTTCGTTCTGGCAAGCGACGTTTACTCTGACCTCAGCCTGACCGCCTTTAACCACACATATCAGGCACCCTGGCTTGGAAGACTGGACCCAGACGACATGTGGAGATGGATCGATAACTTCCTCGCAATGGTAACACACTAAATGACCACCTGGCCATTGTCCATTTGGCTTTAAGGGTTTTAAATTAGCCCATTTTGATTGGCCATGTGCGTTGTTTCTGAACCGGATCTAAAATGGGTAAAGAGTAAGTCAATGCATCAATGCTTTCAACTGGGTATCCTTAGGGCCTTGTAGCAACTTGCCGATATAGACAGTGTATGCCTGACGTTCCAGAATCTCAGAAAACGCTGGCATATGCTGAACTTTCTATGAATTTTATTAATTTTGCTCATATACATAGTGTGGGCGACAGTGGCGTTGGATGTAGGAGTTTGCCCTGAAATCGAAGGACTGACGGTTCAAGTCCTGGCTCCGACTTTCACTGTCGTTGTGTCCTTAAGCAAGACACTTCACCTACATTGTCTACTGATGGTGGTCAGAGGGCCAGTGTACGGGAGCCCCGCTTCTGTAAATGAGCCCCAGGGCAGCTGTGGCTACAATGTAGCTTGCCACCATCAGTGTGTGTGTGTGTGCGTGAATGGGTGAATAAATGTAGTGTAAAGCGCTTTGGTCAAGTTACCTGACTTGAAAAAAGGCACTATATAAGTACATGCCATTTACCATTTACATAGTGTATTCATAACAAGTTCCAGAACTTATGTCCAACGACAGCTGGAGTTAGGCATAACGCATGGCTGCGTAGCGTCCATGGGCATTACGTAGCATCAGTTAAAGATGCTCCCCTCAGGCACATCGCTGCTCCTGAGGGTAGCGGCGATGCGCCCGGAGACGCCCGGTCTGCATAAAAAAATGTCTTTGATCTGGGTATTAACCTAGCTGATGTTTACCGCCCGCCCAAAAAAAAAAAAAGAAAAAAGATAAAGACAGTTGCAGCAGATTCAGCATCATGTCTGCTAGGAAGTTTGTTGGTCATGGCCGTGAACTCATGGAAGATCCATCACACTCACCTTCTCACTCACCCTATGATGGGGATGAAGTCTGGAGGAGAACAGAGTTTCCCCTTGTGAATGGCCTTTCATAGCCTGACATAGTCCTACTCAATTCTAGTCAGAATGTGAGTCTGATACTGCTCCATAGA